GAACGAAATCAAGAACAATCAAATGTCAATCAAGCAGATCAAATTAATTCAAAGGAACAACATGAACAGAGGCAACAACATGACCCGACGTGTTACCAAGTGAATCCGAATATTCAAATCAATAATCGCTTCGCTGGTCTTAGTGTTGAAGAACATACCGAAGAAGTGTCAATGCTGCAAGTCAATGCTGCAAGTCAAGTAACCCGAACGTTCACCGAAACCCGTCAGAAGGAGAGCTGGAAAGCTTCAGCTAACAGCTTCAGTGCTGAACAAAAGGGGTCGAATACCACTGCAAAGAAACACGATAAAAAGGATGATCGACAACTAAAGTGTCACACAACAGTGCCGATAGGCGACTCCATGATCAAGAATATTCGAGGGCCATAGCTTGGCAAAGAGGTCGGCAACCGGGTCGTAGTAAAATCATTTTCGGGTGCTACATCTGAAGATATGAGACATTATATCAAGCCAACGATAGACCGTTCACCAAATCGAATTGTTCTCCATTGTGGAACTAACGATCTGAAAAATTCCAGTCCAACCGAGGTTGCCGAGAGGGTTGTTAGTCTTGCTAGTGAAATAGAAAAGACCTCTGAAACTAAAGTTATCACTTCCAAACTTGTTGCAAGACGGAACATGAATGATCAAGTTAAAACCGTCAACAAACAACTCAGAAAACATTGCTAAAGTAACGGCTGGACACTTATTCAACATAATAACATTAGCTTCGCTGATTTGAACAGAGGAGGACTTCATTTAAATCATAAAGGTAATTGTAAATTTTTTAAAAACTTTGTAGATACTATAGTAACTAAACCGGAGGATTGAAATGTATTTTCCTTGAATGCCGTGCCTAATGAGAGTTCCTCAAATAATTTATCTAATCTCAATTTTGAAACAACTATAGCCGATAGCAACAATTTGAATACGAAATCGATACCACCCTTTCCCACAAAGAGTGGTTTCAAACTAGCTTCATTAAATTTTTAAATTTCAAACTAGCTTCTTTATACTTATTTAAGTCGCGTCTTATGTAAGTCGCGTCTTATTTTGTCTCGTATAAATGGCCCTAGTGTGTCATACAGATCGAATTACTACAACACGTGATATATTCTAAGCATGTTAATTGGTTGAAAGTTTGGAACTTCCACTCGTCGCAAATTATATTCAGCACCAAAACATTCCACAAGTTCAAATTACAGGACCTCTGGCAAACGCGGTAGAGATTTACGCAGCAAATAAAAAATATAGATGAGAGCAATGACTGTTAAATTAATTCGACAAGAAAAAGTCGCTGCCAATTTCTGGCTACATTCGATCGTCGCGTGCGATTGAACAATAAGAAGCCGATATGGTCCGATATACTAGTAATACAAGAATCTGACTTGGCAACATTCGAGAAAAACGGTGCTTCAACCAGCTTATTCACAATCTTGTGATGATTTTACACGAACTGCGGTCCTTCACTACGAATTTGTATAGAAAATATCGCCCTAATTCTAGGTTGAAAAGACTTGAATATAGTTTTTGTCATTCCTATGAATGGAAAATTACTCGCTATTTTCATCCTACTACGATTAAATGGTTTTTAACTCTCAGTAGTTAAAAAATAACTCCTTGAAAATGAAAGTATATGTCGTAAGTCGAACTAAATATTTCGACATATTTTATATAGGTTAGTTTAGCTTTCAGTGTTTTGCCCTAATCATAATGGGCGTTGTGAAAACCCGGAATGCTGGAATATCACGGAATATGGCGGAATATGCCAGAATATCACGGAATATGGCGGAATATCACGGAATATCGCGACATTTTCCCGCGATATACCTGGACATCGCGATATTTTTCGATAGTAGCCATGCGACTGTTTATAAACATAGATGTCTGACAACATATTTTGATTACAAAAGTGATGGATCTTTCCCATTTTGACGGTAAGTAACAAACAATAACTCTATACTAGAAGTTTTATATGCCGTTTATTAGTATTATTACTAGTGTTCACCAAAAATTTTGAATCAATAAGATTTTAAAAATTTTCCCCTAGTTACAGCATGGATAATAAAATAAATGGATAGGACTCTCGCTGACTTAAGCAAAAACAACCTAGTCACAGAAAAGAAAATGGACCAGAAGCCTCACTGTATATCTTTTCCTAACATTTTCGTGTCCGCGATTTTCGCCTTGCGGATTACGAATTTCGCACGCTAGATGACGTGTGTGACACTTGCTGCGAACACCACGTCAGCGTTCGTCAGCAAAACAGTTAAAACAGCAATCTTTATTACCTAGTGATGGCGTTTGATGGCGTCGTGATTACACTTGCTGGCTCGCGCCTGCGCATAAAAAATCTTGGACATAATTTTGGCTAAATGAGGCTTCTGGTCTATTTTCTATTCTGTGACCTAGTTGCAATTTGTGACGTCACGCGTATTGCAAAGTTCTCTACATTTTTGTTGTTTCGCTATATTTTCCGCCTTAAAATAGCAATATTGAAGCATAAACCGGTCTAATTGTTTTAAAAACATGCCTAAGCCACGACAAAGTATTCAAGGTAAATGTTTTTCGTCTTTGTTTTGTATTTTTTTACATTTGTAGCTACGAAATTGGCAACCTCGTCCCCAGGGCCTATTGAGGAAGGAGGCGAAGCAGCAAAGGCCCTGGTAAAGGCTGGTCACGTGATGCTTCAAATTTTGAATATTTCAGAATATTTAACTTTTCAAACCGGGGGTGCGGGCCGCTTTGGTTTTATCAAACATGGCCGTGCAAAGGGGCGATAGAAGCTTTTGCGATTGAAACTATGATGATAAACTTTTCAACTGACAGTGGAAATAAATATATAGTCTGCGATGTTCTTCAAAAAAATATGGAATATAATCAACAGCAATACTTGTGGAAGATCAAGATTCAAAGAGAAGAGTCTAAACACTGACTGACAACAGTAAATATTTCTTTTCAGCTTGGAAGCGTGTTTTGTAATATTTGTCGTTTGGGAGTCAATAACATACTGTCACTACTGTCAGTGAAGAATTTGATTTGGGACTTTGATGTACCTTTATGAAAAGATTACTACTGAATACAAATGTGCATGTAAAATGTGATTAGAACGTTTTAATATGAACAGTTGCACTGTCATTGACTCAATATATTTTAATGTGGGACAAACATTAAAAAAACATTAAAGTACTGTGCCAAGTGACACAATTCCATGCCGACCATGGGTTACGTATGTATGCATTTTTATAATTTTATTAAACGTTTATACCAATATACACTATTTTATACCTTTGTGTGTGAATTTTGTGTGTTGATTTTATGATATTTGACAACCATAAATATTAATATAATATGTTAACGGCAAGTTTACAGTATATCGTATAATACAAAAGCAATATTACTGACATTATCACAAGACTCGAGTACTGTACATGGTCTAGTATGTCAGCAACTATGCTCTTTGACATTGTGGCAATCGGGTATTCTTGGGGCTTTTAGCTTGGTTTTTCACTTTTTTGATGCAACTATAGAATACCCACAACTTTCACACCTTACCGCTATTAATTCCTTGTAAACATTGTCAATTTACTCAAAATTGATCTAATATGATTGCCTCATTCTTCAAAACCCCCCAGTCAAATTTGAACCAAACTAACATACTCATATGATTTAATCTCTAAACTTTACCCTTAATAAGGTGGTCTTACACCCATATTTTCAATTTTTTTGCAATTAATTGTAGGGCAGATGTAAGTTTATATTATAGTAGAGTACAAAAAGGTGATCAAGAAAATACATCACTTTACATGTGTGTTGCCATGGTTACCGTGGTAATTACCCCCTAGTGAGAAAATAAGCACCTATTTTCAGACAAGATTAAGCTTCAGTGGATGGTCAGAAAACTTTAATTTCTGGTTTATATAATCACTATAAACATAGTCTAGGAGCCAAACCAAAAAAAACCCTGACTATTTACAGGCATCTCTGTTTTTTTAAGATTTTTCTGCAAAATAGCATTTTTTTGAAAACAATACATCATACAGCAAACAACTATGGAATTAATATAAAACTTTTTTCAGTTTTTTTTTGGTTTGGCTCCTTGCCTGATATTGTGTGTTACACTGTTGAAAATTTCAGTCAAATTGGTTAAAAACTGTCTTAGATATGCTGTCTGAAGATAGCGGCATTTGCCAAATTTCACATTTTGTGAAAAACAGCATTTAAGTTTAGCTTTTAGATGGTGGCTCTGTATTTATGCAAATAACATTGAAATGCCTACTTTTTAAATATCTTTTCAAGCCTTGGAGTGTTTAGAAAAGTTAAAATCCACCAGCAGCATAAGTTACACCCTCTTTCTGGGAACATTTGTCCGCATTCTTCTTCTTTTGTGCTCGCCTGATTTTTCTTTTCTTTTTGTTTTCTTCCTGTGCCTTGAACTCTGCTTTATCCACACGCTCGTGATCTTGTTGCTCTAATTCAGCAACACAAAACGTTCCAGGATCAATCCCTAGAAGCTCTAGTACATTAAGAGCAGCTTGGGAGCCAATGTTAAAGTGGGCCACAGCATCATAAACACCAAGCTTCAACACCTCCGATCCGATGAACACTTCTTTCGGAAGGCGATTCCAAATCATTCCATTCAATGACTCATTCTGGTTTTGAGTTTTTCCATCTAAGCACCTTTCAAGTAAAGCATCATTACTTAGCCTCTCATAAATGGGTCTAACCAAACTAATTATTTCATCTGGCAACCCTGGCCCTGGTTTGTACAAAGCTGTTCCTTTGGCCCGATCTTGTTGAAAGCGACACCAGCTATCAGCACCAGCAGGACAAAGCATATGCAGATTTCTTTTCTTTGAGGCTATGCAATGCATTAGGCTAGCTTGAATAGCTTTTTTCATTGCCTCCAGATTACCAACATTGCTTCGAATTGCAATGCCATAGTAATTTTGAAGCCGATCAATCAAAGCATCTGTCAACTTTCCTTTCCCTCCTAGTCCCTTATTCTCCTTCTTAAGTTTTCGAAGGGCAGTTCCTACCCGCTTTTGGACATGCCCAACACATTCTTTTTTCACCACTTGAACATTCTCTTTGCTGTATATGTCCTGAACCTCACTGAAACCTTTGCTGTCCCCATCGCCGAAATATTCCGTATACTGTAGTTTGTACTTTTCTTGACTGCGGCCAAATATTTTCCTAACTCCCACGGTTTCCATTGAAGCAGAAGAACCAGAATAATTGGCTTTGCATTTATCCTTGTGCTCAGCTTCCCAAACTAATTTTTCCTTGGGATCATCACTGTTCTTGTGTCTTTGACACCCTTGGCACACTTTACTTAATACTGCGACATCAAGGCACTTGCCGGTGTCAATCGAGAGTGTCGTCACACAGCCATTCATTGATGAATGCCCTCTTCTCTGCCACGTTCCATCACAAGAAACTCCACATTGAGAGATTCCAGCATCATTGCTTCCTTTTAGTGCATGGATTTCATCACTGGCATCCATCATGCTCTCCTCAGCAACAGTTTTAACTGCTTTCAGAATGGCTTTGTTGTTCTTAGAGTAGGCATTTGCTTTAGGTGGAGAAGGCATATTCATTATCCCACAGAAACGTTTGGCAGAAGCTCTTCCTTGTCCTATTAATCTCATGCCATAGACAAGCCTTTTATTAACTTCAAAACCTTTATTTAGTTTTTTTGAAGTATAGAAACAGTGCTTCCAATCACAACTAGAGCAGACAATACTAAGATATGATGAGCACCCTTGCCTTCTTTTATTATCTTCTTCCAAATACAAACAACTTTCGTTACAGTTTTGACAAGCAACTTGTTTCAACACGTTAGAAAGTATTTCAAGACTAAAGATACGATATCCATCTACCTTTGTATTAGCTTTAGCTGTAGGTTTTAGACGGTTACTCAACTTCCTTGCCGAGGCACTAGCATGACTTGTTGAAGTCGAACCTTGGTCTGTGCTGGTTAAATCACTATCGCCACACTTGGTCTTTTTACCCTGTGACCACTGATTACCTTGATATTTTCGTTTACGAGATTTTGAAGCAGATCGTGGCATACTTATAACAGTAAATCGATCGACAAATCCAATATAAAACAGCAAAGAATAAGCAATTTCTGTAAATTCACTTTTCAAAATATCCCGATGAAAACGTTTTGAAAACGTGTGTAAAGCAGCAGTACTTTATAGTCAGCGGCTTTATTACTCAATAGACAAAAACATACTGTCCAGGGGAGGGACAGGTAGAAAGGAAAAGGAAAATAAAACAGTTTGTTGTATATATTTTTCCGTTGCTAAGGGCGTTGCTAAGGCGAAAAACCATACCTAGGCTTCAAAAAACGTAATTTTTTTATATTTCTTTTCATTCTATCACAAAAATTTTTTCGCCACATCATTCAAACATGATTTATGATTCAATTTATGCATAATTAAAAAAATGGTCCGAGACCTTGATTTTGGGTGTAAGACCACCTTTTAAACTATTTTGAAGTGATTCTTGTACTTATTTATGTGTCAATGAATGCGGAAAAATGGCAAGGTATTCTATAAGCACTCCGGCATGTGTGTTTTTGAACCTTCACTGTTGAGAGAGCATGCCATGGGTCTCCCCAAATTATCTGAGCACTTCAACCAGACCAACAGCTGCCAAATGGCAACTACTATGCTCAGAGGTGTAACTTAACACTTGCCCGGGGCAAGTGAATATCATGATGGGCAAGTAAAAGTTTCCTCTTGGTTGCCCGAACGGGCAAGTTGCTTTGCCACAAAAAGCTGGCCAGCTTTCAGTTTATATTATTATTGTCGGATAGAATAAAGGCTGTTCGACGACATTGGTTCAAGCTGGCAAATCATCTGCATCAAATTCATCTAAATTGTTTGATTATATTATGCATTGATTCTCTTTTTGGTTATTAAATGTTTATTCATGATATGATAACGAAATATGGCAGGACTTAATTTATGGCAGGACTTAATTTGGGACTTTATTAGTCCTGTTGTCTGTGCCTTCAATTTCTTATTGTAAAACTAATAAAAAAAAAATAATGGTGATTAGTGTTACATTAAATAAGTGTACTTGATTCAAATTTTGTTTAATATGTGAGCCAAAGCTAGATCTGAGGTAGTCTAGATCTGAGGCAGTAACATAGCCAATGCCACTAGTCCAATGAGTGGATATGTTGTCTCCCTAATTTATACTGGCCCGCATAGGTACCCCATTGCCTGATGGCAAGTGGATTTTATTCAGGGCAACCAATTTTCATGTCCAACTTGCCCTGAGGGCAAGTGGTCAAAAAAGTTAAGTTACACCACTGATGCTGTATACAAATTATATACCTGAAAGGTAACTTACATCATATTGTGTCATTTAAATACTAATACTTGTATTCCCACAGTGTATTAAGATATACAAAAGCACTTGTGATGCCCAAAGAATTGCCACAAAAAAAACCATAAACCACAAATCAGTCAATTTCAGTAAGTAGGGCACACTGGGGCACATTGCGGCTCAATGGGTTAACTAGGGACATTGTCAGATTTTGGTTAATAACCATAATTAATTGCAAGAGGTCAGTACAGTCTGTAACAATAAGTAATTCAGGAATTCACACAATTCTCAATAGCAGTCAATAATTTCATGTTAAATGATTATCGGATAATGTTGAGCATCAAGAATATATGTATATATTATATCCTTCATACATTTATAATAATATTCAGGCTAAATATCATAGTTATTATTTTATGTACTATAGTTTTATCAGGTATAAAGATACGAGGTGAAGCCAAGTATCTTTAGGTCTGATAAAGCATACACTGCAAATGTTTTAAATTGCTCAACTGATGGTCACCAACAACAAATAGTACTTTATTACAAGGCGGCAAAATGTATTTAAATTAAAAGAGATGAATAATCTTGTCACTTGATACATTTGACACCAGGTGTCTTGTATTTGTCCATATTAAAGAGACTCTTGTTATTGTGTCATGTTTTGAGAATGAGTTCAATTTTGATATTTGTTGTCGATCTGAGCAAAATATTGATTATTGATTTGCCTACTGAGGCACACAGTATTGAACAGTCAATTGTGGTGAGTGATGCTGGACTGCCTGTTGTATGTTGTGAGTGATTTTGAGCGCCTGTTGTGATGAGTGACACTGAATTGCCCCGATTGTGGCTCAGGAAAAAATGTACCTGCTGACTGTCAAATAATCTCCTTAAATAATGTTCTGGGAAGTAATTTGTGTAATTGATTACAAACAAAAACAAGGGCTTGTTAACAGTATAATGAGGAAAGCACTATATGTGTGTTCACAATGTTCTTGGGATAAGAATGAAAATCAAATAAAATATTTCAACTCAATTAAATTCAGGAAATGTTAATTAACCATGGAGGTCAACCAGGTTATACTCAGGGCATATGGCTAACATAAGCATTTAAATTCCAAGTGCATACGATGTTGACATTCCTTGTTTTTCAGACATTCTTTAATTGGGTCTTGTACTCCCTTTAACTGTTATAAAATATACTGTATGATATTGACATTTGCAAGAAAGATCTATTGTAGCAACAATAACTATTAAATGTTTTGATGATCATGGATATGGTGTATTGAGAGTCCATATTATTAAATTAAAGTGATTTTACATATCTGCTTCACAATCGAGGCAGCAATTTCCTTGCGACAGTAATTCATAGTATAAATACTTCTATTGATCCATTCGTTTTGCACTGTTGCTTTGTCTATTTAATAGATCTCCTTTACAGTTCAACCAAGGTTCTCAGAGCTAATTTGAAGACAATTTCAAATTTATTCAATGTTTTTGGAAAAACTTTAACAGATTTTTTCATTTTAAAATAGATTTTTGTTCTTTATTTGTCGATTTCGGTGTTTATGCAATATTGACGAATATATTGTAGCTAAAGAGATCCGCTATCGCACCCCCCTGTATAGTATTTGCTCCGATATATCACGTGACAAAATAATCCACAATTTGTGGATTATTTCACCAGCCTTTACCAGGGCCTTAGCTGCCCTTCGCATCTTTCCTCAAAAGGCCCTGGGGACGAGGTTGCGAAATTGGCGTCCCCAATTGTAACGAAATTTGGGATGCCTTTTTCACTGTTTAGTGCTTGAAATATTTGCTAAAATTGACTGGAAATACCTAGAGATCTCATCGTAGAATGGCGTAGTTATATTCATTTGCTCTTTGAGTAAAATGTTTAACTGTATTATTGCTAAACATGCCGTTTTTGAGAATTTGGTTTGCAACTAGGTTTCAACATCCAATCACGCCATCAGCCCATTGAAAACAGTAGGCCACGTCAGCTAGTTTCCTGTCCATTTATTTTATTATCCATGGTTATACCATAGTTAATAGAATATATGGTTTGAGAACTCATTAGAATAAAAATATAACTCATTATCGATGTTAACCAACGTTTATTCATAAATATGTTTCTTCACCGTCGCGTGTGTATTGTAATTTTGCCAAATCCACCAATAGCAATTTCCAATTTATCCTATTGTTCGAGTCACGGACAGGCAACTTTCCTAAACATTGCTATTGGTTAGTTGGGCAAAAATACAATACGCACGTGACGGTGAAGGACTAGATTTATGAATAAACGTTCACTAACATAGATAATGAGTTATACTGTTATTCTAATGAGTTTCCAAACCATCTCTTCCATTAACTATGGTTATACACAAAATTTAGTTAAAAATTCTTGGTTAAGGCTAAGACGGGACTAGATTTCTTACCTGATATAAACAAGAATTTAAACATTTTGGCTCAAACTTGTCTTTATTTTAGCATTTGATTTTGGATAAATTCTTAGTGGCCATATGTAATGGTCAATTTTATTCCACTAAGCATTTATCCAAAAATCAAATGCTAAAATAAAGGCAAGTTTAAGCCAAAATGTTTAAATTCTTGTTTATATCAGGTAAGAAGTCACGGGACGAAAAGACAGATTTACTGGGGGGAGGGCAGGAGGGGCAGCTGCCACTCTTGCCTTTTGCTAGGAGTAGCAAGTGCCCTTTGAGTTATAAAATACTACCTGATAAATCACCTTTTCAGTGATGCTTTTTGGGCAAAATCATGAGGTGTGATCTTGAATGTGCGTTTGCTTTCATTTGCAAGTCAACACATAATTGTATCGTAGGTTTATACTCTTCACCGGGGTCTATAGAGGTGCCCTTTGGTGTACCGTTTGCCCCTCTTGCCTTTTTATCGTTCCGGCGTCTCTGGTCTTAACCTTAACCAAGAATTTTTAACTAAATTTTGTGTATAACACAGTTCTGATTTTTGAAGGCGTTCGAAAATAGTGCTGGCGGTCAGCACTTTAATTTTTCAAGACGCTGTAACTATGGATAATAAAATAAATGAACAGGAAACTAGCTGACGTGACCTAATGTTTTCAATGGGCTGATGGCGTGATTGGATGTTGAAACCTAGTTGCAAACCAAATTCTCAAAAACGCTAAACATTTTACTCAAAGAGCAAATGAATATAACTACGCCATTCTACGATGAGATCTCTAAGTATTTCCAGTCAATTTTAGCAAATATTTCAAGCACTAAACAGTGAAAAAGGCATCCCAAATTTCGTTAAAATGGGGACGCCAATTTCGTAGCTACAAATGAAAAAAAAATACAAAACAAAGACGAAAAACATTTACCTTGAATACTTTGTCGTGGCTTAGGCATGTTTTTAAAACAATTAGACCGGTTTATGCTTCAATATTGCAATTTTAAGGCGGAAAATATAGCGAAACAACAAAAATGTAGAGAACTTTGCAATACGCGTGACGTCACAAATTGCAACTAGGTCACAGAATAGAAAATGAACCAGAAGCCTCACTTCACGAGATTTTTTATGCGCAGGCGCGAGCCAGCAAGTGTAATCACGACGCCATCAAACGCCATCACTAGGTAATAAAGATTGCTGTTTTAACTGTTTTGCTGACGAACGCTGACGTGGTGTTCGCAGCAAGTGTCACACACGTTATCTAGCGTGCGAAATTCGTAATCCGCAAGGCGAAAATCTCGGACACGAAAATGTTAGGAAAAGATATAGAGTGAGGCTTCTGGTCCATTTTCTTTTCTGTGACTAGGTTGTTTTTGCTTACGTCAGCGAGAGTCCTATCCATTCATTTTATTATCCATGCTGTAACTCAGGAAAATTTTTAAAATCATATTGATTCAAAATTTTTGGTGAACACTAGTAATAATAATAATAAACAGCATATAAAACTTCCAGTATAGAGTTATTGTTTGTTACTTACCGTCAAAATGGGAAAGATCCATCACTTTTGTAATCAAAATATGTTGTCAGACGTCTATGTTTATAAACAGTCGCATGGCTACTATCGAAAAATATCGCGATGTCCAGGTATATTGCGGGAAAATGTCGCGATATTCCGTCATATTCCGCCATATTCCGTGACATTCCGGCATATTCCGTGATATTCCGGCATTCAGGGTTTTCAACGCCCTAATCATACTGGTTATAATGACCTATTTTCGAATAATAACCAATCGGTAAATTTGCCTTAACCAAAAACATTGGTTAAATTAACCTATTTTTATTGGTCGCAAAACTTGACCTGATAATAATAGGTTATTTTAACTAATTTAAATCGGTTCTAACCCATTCAGTTGGTTAAAACAACTTTTAATTATTATTATTATTATTATTAAAAATCTTATTTTACAACGGTTATCCTTCAACACACCTAGGTTATTGATTTCCAAGGAGCCGTTCACACTATACTAATCTATATTTACAAACGGAAGCAATACATAATAATTACATAATGTTAAAGTTATAAAGATATCACACGTTAACTAAACACCTATTACTAGTTATAAAAGATATAAAACCATGCAAAACTGACTGGCCTTAGTTACATTTACATTTAATGTTTAATACGATCAAGTGCAGCCTTAAATTGCCTAATTGTGGCATCACTTGTTTTTACACATCTCGGTAAATTATTCCATGTTTTAGCACCATTATAGCTAATGCTTTTTTTCATAAAATTTGTTTTAGGCTTTTGTAGAGTAAACTCATTTCCGTTGCTACGTAAATTATAATTAATGTTATTTTTAATTTCAAACAGGTTCATCAAATTCTCTGGTAATTCATTTCTCTTCGCTTTGTACATGAATACTAAACTATTTTTTTCCCAATGATCAATTAGGGGTTTCCAATCCAGTTCCCTCAAAACTTCAATTGAAGGTGTCTCGTATGATCTGCCAGTTATGACCCTTGCTGCCCTGTTTTGCATTTTCTGCAACTTACTGATCAGCTGATCACTACAGTTGCTCCATACAAGGCTGCAATAGTCAAAATATGGTAATACTAGCGCATTGTACACCTTAATCAAAGTTGTTTTTGGGACACAGTTCTTTATTCGTCGTAGCATACCTATACCTTTTGATACTTTGCCCGAAATAGCTTCAATTTGATTTTTCCAAAGTAGTTGCTCATCAATAATTATGCCCAATGATTTTGCGTGATTAACCCTCTTAATTTTTGTATCCCCAAATTCTAAGATCGGGTCAGTTTCAACAGTCGATAATCTCTGGTGTGAACCAATTAGCATATATTCTGTTTTATCTTTATTTAATGTCAATTTATTGGCCAACAACCAGTTGTGCATAAGCTCTAGGTCGAAATTTAATCGCCGTTGTAGTTCTTCTTTATTTAAGCTTGCAGTGGTTAGATTTGTGTCGTCGGCAAACATATTCGCTTTAGTATATTTTAAACAATTTGGCAAGTCGTTAATATAAAGAAGGAATAGCAGAGGACCCAAGTTAGATCCCTGGGGTACTCCACTACGAATTTTTTGCGGCTCTGAAATAGTTTGTCCAATCTTACACCTTTGGATTCTATTTGACAAGTATGATTTAAACCAATTTAGTTCAACCCCTTTTATGCCATAAAGTTCTAATTTTCTGAGTAGGATACTGTGGTCTACGCAATCAAATGCTTTCTTTAGGTCAAGAAAAACAACTCCATTTAGGTACCCTTTGTTCATATTTAAATACCATTCATTCGTAACAGATAGTAATGAAGTTTCTGTTGAATGCTTCTTTCTGAAACCTGATTGTTGGTTTACTAATATTTTATTACTTTCCAAATAGTTTGAAAGCTGATGAGATATAAGTTTTTCAAAAATCTTAGCAACCGCAGACAATACAGACACAGGTCTATAATTTGTGGGTTTACTTTTGCAATCCGATTTATAAATAGGGGAAACAATTGCTATTTTCATATCATCTGGAAAACTACCCGATAATATTGACTTATTGAATATTGTTGATAACGACTTAGCAATTACGTCAGCACAATCTTTCAGTAGTTTAGCCGGGATTCTGTCATGTCCAGTAGCTTTATTTGTTTTAATAGTATATAATAGTTTAGAAACATCTGTTTCAGTTACCAACTGAAAACGGAAAATGGTGTTTAAGGGTTTTACATACGATTCTGGTATCTGGTTATGTTCCGGAAGATCTTTTGCTAATTTGGGTCCTATGTCTGTAAAAAAATTATTGAAAATATTTGCAATTTCTCCTGGTTCAGTTACTATATTCCCGTCATCTGAAATTTCATTTATATTGGTGGATTTTACATTCCTATTTGTTAATTCATTAACTTTTTTCCACATTTTCTTTGGATTTGCCTCGCAATTACTAAATGCCTGCATGTAATAATTTGCTTTCGCATTTTTAACTATTTTAACCACTTCATTTCTAGCTTTTTTGTAGGCTTCATGAGCACACTTAGACCCATATTTTACCGCCTGTTTTTTTAGAAAATCTCTATTATGTATTCTATCTTTTATTCTAGGCGTAATCCAGGGTATATGTTCATTTTTGACTTTACGGGTAATCTGGGGTGCGTGCATGTCTGCAACCGCTAAGAACCTTTCCTTCCAATCATTCCAAACAACATTTGGATCTTCACTATTTGATAGCGTTTCTAGTACCCTACTTAAATCATATTTAAATGCATCCACTTTATAATTCTTATATTTCCTTGTATTTATTATTTTTGGTTGTTTACGGGAAATAGATATTTTTCTTTGTATATAAATAAGACTATGGTCGCTGATTCCTACATGTTCTATTTCTGCTCCAACAATATTTTCAGGTTTATTAGTGAAGGCTAAATCAAGCAAAGTAGCGGTATTATCTGTAATTCTAGTGTGTCCTTTTATTAATTGCTCAAATTGGTATCTGGTCGCAAGATCCTTTAGTTTACCGGTTTGCGCACTTCTGTTACTGTGGTTTGGGTCCCAATTACAGTTGTAATCTCCAATAAGGATGATTTCTTTATTTTCCGCGTCCATTTTCTTTAAACAATCTTCAAAATTTTCAAATTTTTCAGATCTGGTATCTGGTGGTCTATACCAGGCATTGATTAAGAATGGTTTAGATTTTGGCTTAGAGATTTCAACTGTGATTGGTTATAACCTTTAGAAATAGGTTGTTTTAACCTATCAGTTTTTACAGTGTAGCTAGTTTGATAAAACATATAGATGAACTGAGAATTCTGCTTGTCAATTATCCAGTAGATATCCTCTCAATCAACAAAACCGAACTTGATAATTCGATTAATGATTGCGAAATACATATCCCTGGGTATGAAATACTTCGCCGAGATAAAGACCGACAAGGTGGAGGTGTTTGTTTCTATGTTAGAACCACTATTAATTTTTCAATAAGTGAGGATTTAAAATTTAAAAATTTGGAAAATTTATATGTTGAAATACGAAAACCTCAATCTAAACCATTTGTTGTTGTCAACTGGTATAGACCACCCAATTCTCCTTTTGAGTTGTTTACTTCTTTTGAGTTTCTTATCGGACGACTTGATGCAGAAAATGTCGAATTTTATTTAATGGGTGATTTTAACTGTAATTTAGCTAACGATAGTACTCAGTATGACAACAATACCCATCTGCTGTCGAGCATTACCGATACATATGGTCTTCAGCAGTTAATCAATGGGCATACCCGTATTACGAAAACAACTTCCACCTTGATCCATCTAATTTACACTAACTATCCAGACAGGGTCGGTTGTTCAGGTGTCTCGCATTGCGGTATAAGTGACCATACTCTATGCCTACTAAAAAATATAAATAAATAAAAAAAAATAAAAATAAAATTTTTAAAAATGAAAAATATTTTTCCGAGAAGAAAAAAATTTTTCCGAAAAATATATGAAAAATATATAAAAATATTTTTATGAAAAATATTTTTCCGAGGCCTCAGAAACGGCCCTCGATCTTCCGTCTCGGTCCGCATCTGAGGCCTCGGGGAAATATTATTCCAGTACGGCCCTCCCATCCGGTAAATAACATATATATATACTTTGCTGTTGCATACATAATGGCGTAATGTATGGTCAAATTTACCATTGTTTTTACACATTTTTGAGAAATATTTGAAAAAGGCAAGTTTAAGATACGAGGAACATTAAACACTTTTTCCTTCATACAGACTGACTGGCTGATGCGATTTCTACACATACCTAAGACACTAGTACCATAGACTTCGACTTCACACAACGTTAGTGCTTTTTTTTCTCCTGGAAGAACGACCGTCACATAACGACCAACTACCGTCGGCTTACACGAGACTATACTCTCCTATGTAAAGAAAAGTTATCTATTATCGCAAGCATTATAAACACCGGGCGAGCTCGAAAAATATGCCCGACCACGGTGGGAATTGAACCTACGACCTTTGGAATACTAGCCAACGGAGCTACGCGGTCAGGACGGTTCGTTCGAGTAAGTGATATTTCGGAACAGAATCTAGTTCCTTCGAAACCAATGTAATCTAGTAATATATATGATTTTTTTTCTGCGTTGGTGTTGTGTACTCAGGTGAATATAAAGTTTGCGATGTTACTCAGAGTGCATATCAACACCGGGCGAGCTTGAAAAATATGCCCGGCCACGGTGTGAATCGAACTTACGACCTTTGGAATACTAGCCCAATGCTCTGCCAACTGAGCTACGCGGTCATGACGGTTCGAGTAAGTGATATTTCGGAAGAGAATCTAGTTCCTTCGATACCAATGTAATATAGTAATATGATTTTTTTCCGCGTTGGTGTTGTGTACTCAGGTGAATATAATGTTTGCGATGTTACTCTGAGTGCATATCCACACCGGGCGAGCTTGAAAAATATGCCCGGCCACGGTGGGAATCGAACCTACGACCTTTGGAAAACTTTATTTCAATACGCTAACTTCGACAATTATTTACAACTGGTTTCCACGAAGGGCGTATACACACAAAGAGCAAAATGTTAATTATATATAGAACAAAATATGTAAGAATCCCATCCTAAAATTTTATCATCTTCCTCCCAAACCTCCACCCCCTAAACAAGTACCCACCCACCCTCACGCAAAACTAACCCCCCTCCCGCCCACAATCTATATTGTTCTCCCATCATTTGGTCCTGGAGAAATTAGCTTATCATCTGCTTAAATGCAATTTCGCCATTGTTTTAAATGACATAATTGACTCAGCCGCCTTGACATCTTGCGGGAGAATACTCCATAGAAGTGCTCCACTGTATCCAAATGTTTTCTTTAGAAATTCCGTTTTCGGTTTTTTTAACGAGAGATCAGTTTCGCTATTGCGTAAATCATAAATATTCTGCGATGCATTTCTCCGAGAAAAAAGATCTTTAAGGTTTGGCGCGGTGTGGTTCCCCAAGACTTTATACATCAATACTAGCTTGTTTTGTTCTCGTCTCCTAGCCAGGGTTTCCCAGCCTAATTTGTTTAGGACTTCAGACGATCTTACATCGTAGTCAGCTCCGGTAATCACCCTTGCTGCTCGATTTTGGAATTTTTGCAATTTGTCTTGAAGTCCCAAACCACAGTTATCCCACAGGGGAGAACAGTAATCAAAATGAGGCTGAATTAATGTTTTGTAGACATCATGTAAGGTTTTGTGTGGAACATAAGGTTTTATTCTTTTAATTGCTCCTATTCCAGCGCTAATCTTATGGCATACAGAATCAATATGTTTCTCCCAACTTAATTTTTCATCTAGATTTACACCTAGACATTGAAATGTATTGGTTTGTGGGACTGGGATTTTGTTAATCTCAACGGGTCTATTTCCTATTTTATTATTTAGATTATGCTTAGATCCAATAAACATGACTTTTGTTTTTTTCCTATGATATTTTAGTTTGTTTTTAGCAAGCCATTTATGAACACTGGAAAGGTCCATATTCAAATTGTCAATCAATGTATCGTAATCATGCGAAGAGGAAGATATCTGAGTGTCGTCGGTATAAAGACATGGGGTTGTCCTTTCTAAAATGTCAGGCATATCATTAATATATAGCAAAAACAATAATGGACCAAGTATGGATCCTTGCGGAATTCCGCATATTATTGTTCTTGCAGAAGAAGTTTGATCATTAACAGAACACACTTGCTTTCTATTCCTTAAGTATGATTGGAACCAGCAGCCATTTTCATTCCAATATTTATAAAATATTCATTTAATGTTTCAGTAATAGATTTATCATCAGAAATAATATCATCATTTACTTTCAGTTCATTAATATTTGCATTCTTATGCTTTCTTCCTAAGAGCGAATTTATCCAAGCCCATCCGCTTTTACTGTCTCCCATTTGAGAGCTTGCTTGGATTTTATCACAAAAGTACTTAGATTTTGCTTTCCGCATGTTTATATTTACTTCATTACGTAGTGTTTTATACAATTCCCACTGTGACTCCGAATCATATTTTATGGCCTTTTTTTTTTGTGATAGTCCCTTTTTCTCATAAGTTCTTTAATTTGAGGATTAATCCATGGGACAGGGTTATTCCTTATTCGCTTGTGGCGCAGAGGGACATGTCTATTAAGTGCATCTAATAATAGTGATTTCCAGACTTGCCAACATAAATTGGGATCTCCAAACTGATAGACCATCTCCCAAGGCAATTGAGACACATCCCGAATGAAATCATTTTCGACAAACTTTTTAAAGTTACGAACCTGACGAATTTTTTGCCTTCCTTTCGGTAGTGTAAATTTTCTCACAGCGTAGACAAGGCTGTGATCTGAAATTCCCAGGTGAATGACACCTGATCTGGAAATATTTTCTGGTCTATTTGTTAATATTAAATCAATTAGTGTAGCTAATTTAGGAGTTAGCCTTGTAGATTCTTTAATAAGTTGGTCTATCTGATACAGAGAACATAAAAATTGCAACTTACATGTGTGAGGGTCAGGTATAGTTTTATTGACATCACAATTTAGATCTCCTATGAGGATTAGCTCCTTATCTTCATTATCACATTTTGCTAAAAAGCTTGAGAATTTGGTGGTCTATACCATGTGCTTATTAGCAGTGATTTATTGTAGGGTAAACTTAATTCAATGCAGACCATCTCAAGTTCGTCAGGGATTAGATCTATTCTATCTGAGAATGATATGTTTTGGCGAACATATAGAATCACACCTCCACCAAACCTATTTCGATCTTTACGAATTATATTAAAACCATCAATATGTATCTCATTATTTGAAATCAGATTATCAATTTTGGACTCATTAATTGCAAGAATGTCAAGGGCGTTATTGTTAAGGATTAAGCGAATTTCATCCAGATGTTTCATTAAGCTATTTACATTTAAGTTGGCTATCTTCAAACCTTTGCTTTTGGCGATTATGTTAATTTCACTATCTATGCCTAATAAAGAATTGCTTGGCACATCTTGACAATTTACTTGTTCAAGTTCATTATCGCATTTAGTAGTTCTGCCAGATGGTTTATTGTGTTCTTTGGAAAATCCTGACGGGAATGTTTTTGTGGGCGCAGTGAACTTAAGGATTGTCCATCCCTAAGGAACTTAATAAAATGTGTAGCTAGTATGGCAGTCCCCTTTGCATTTAGATGCAGGCCACTAGAGCTCAAACATATCTCATCTATTGACATATTACTTATAAATGTCACATCATGCTTAGATGACAAACTCTGAACTTTCTCATTAATTTCTTCTATTTTTGATATTAAATTACTATCCTGTCTCAATGTAAGTCCAGAAATTCCAATTTTAGAATTAGGGAATTTCTGTTTAGCTGTTGTAATAAGTTTTTCCATGTTACCAACACATTCGTCTATAGATTCAACAGGGACATCATTTGTCCCTGCGTGAATAACAACATGAGACGGGTCCGGTTTAATATTAATTTTGGCAAGCTCATTAGTTATTTCTATAGTTGTTTTACCTGGATATGTGAATTTATAAACTTTCCTTTTTGAGAGTTTTACCGGACTAACAAGTGATATTTCGGACCCAGAGTTTTACCGGACTAACTGATATTTCGGAACAGAATCTAGTTCCTACCACTTTGTTGATACTGCGGTTGAGCCGTTCTGCTTCGCCATTCGCACGTGGATACCGGGGAGTTATTTTTTTTGTGCTTGATACCAAATTCTCTCATAAGGTTAGAGAACCTGGATGACCGGAAAGTTTTGGTATTGTCCGTGAGAATTTCCTGGGGTATTCCGTAGCGGGCAAAAATTCGACGAAGGCGCGGTTCCATGGCGGCAGTCGTGATATGCTTCATGATTTCTACTTCAGGATATCGACTATAATAGTCGACTAGCACCAACAGGTTTTCGCCGGTGGGAAATGGGCCTACGAAATCCATCCCTATCAATAACCAGGCTGCTTTTGGGAGGGTGGTGGGTTTCAGTGGGGTGAAACTAGGTTTTGTTGCCTCAGTCGCTACAAGACAAGGCTGGCACCGTTTTACGAATGTTTCCGCCTCCGTTGACTTTCCCGGCCACCATACCTTAGTACGCAAACGGGCTTTCGTCTTGGCTACGCCTTCGTGCCCCTGGTGAACAAGCTCGAGAACTCTTTGTTGTAGGGACCGAGGGATAACTATGCGGTTATTTCTAAGCAAGACCCCGTCAGAGAAGAAAAATTCGTTTCGATGGCTAAAAAAGAGACCAAGGTCTTTGTTCCACGTGCCTGACTGGAGAGACTTGTGGACTGTTTGAAGCTTCGCGTCCTTCGCTGTGGCTTCTTTTACTTGTTCGATGGTGCAGGCTCGTGGCAGTGACGCTGTGGTGATGGCATTAATCATTTTGGTATCCGCGTGTTCGCTGGGATTGACGTGAGCTCGGGGTGGAGTCGGACCCGGTTCGTAACGAAGTCGAAAATTGAGATGTTGAATGCGCTTGGCCCAACGATCGATGCGTGGAGGAGGTTGGGACCCGGGCTTGTAGAGACCAAGCAGTGGCTTGTGGTCGGTTATGATGGTGAAATCTGGGTCACCGCTGAGATAGTGGTCGAACTTCAAACAGCCGAATTTGACGGCGCGTGCTTCTCTTTCGATCTGGCTGTAGCGTCGCTCGACATCGCTTAGCAACCGGCTAGCGTAGGCAACTGTCGCGAAGTTCCATCTCCCTGGATTTGACACAGAAGGGCTCCCAGTACCACAGGCGAGGCGTCTACTCGAAGCTCAGTTTTACGATCTTTGTCGAAGAAGACAAGGCATGAGGCCCGCGAGATGCTGTTCTAGATCTTCAGGCCTTGGAAGGATTTCTGCTGATCTGGTCCCCAGATCCACTTAATTATTACCTGAGCGTGTGAGGCGTCAGAGGGGTTCTGCTTCCGTGGCAAGGTTGGGCGTGAATCGAGCGAGAAAGTTGATGAGACCGAGAAAGCTCTTCACTTCGGATACGTTGCTGGGGTTTTAAAGTACTTAATTGCGTCAACTTTCTGTTGAGAAAGTTGGATGCCCTTGGAGGATAGCTGCATGGCCATGAAAGTGACTTTGTCGACCCCAAAAATGCACTTTGACTTGTTGAGGGTAATGTTTATTGCTGCAGTCGGTGAAGGCATGCGGCAAGACGCTCGTTGTGCTCTCGTACCGTGCGACCGTAGATGGTTATGTCATCGTGAATCCATCTTACACCGGGCATACCTGACAATACCATGCTCATTACTCGTTGGAGGATTTCTGAAGCGTTGGTGAATCCCATTACCAGAGTGGTACATCCGCGGAGACCCTTTGGTGTGGAAAAGGTAGCGTACTTTCTGGAGTTTGGTTCTACCAGCTTTGACCAGATGGTAGAACCGCCCATTTTGTCTGTGGCTTCTTCAAATGTGGGTATGGGCTGATCTCTCGCTCGACGTGTGCGTTGACGTCGCGCCAGTCCTGTGTAATCCGAGCCCAAGGTGTTGGGCCTTCTACTGGCTCAATGATGGCAAGTGACTCTTGGATGGCGATCTCTTTATTCAGCGCCTCTCGTAAGTGAACTGCAACGCGTGAAGGGGGGGGCTGCACAACAGGGGTGGTATCTTTTTTCATACGTATTTCGACGTCAACCCCTTTGACGCGGCCAAGTCCCTCGAAGACCTTGCGATACTTGAAAAAGATGTTCTTCTGTCGGAGCGATGTGGGCAATGATTCTGGTTCAGGGATAGGATTTTGTTGTTCAGTTGTGGGAGAGGGACTGTGACGAGGATCTGGTGTGACTTTGGACGCTGCTGCATCTGTGTGGATTTCGGTTGCAGTGTTCTCCTGCTCAGACGCTAGGCTGTGCAGGCCGTGCGTCTGGTGATTGGGTGGTCCCACATGAAGAATGCCCATTTCCATGGACGTGTCTCTGCCCAGGATGGTGGTGCCCTTATGGTTGACGATGACAAATTCTACTGAGGACGTTTTGCCAAATGCATCCACAGTGATGTGACACGCGCCCAAAATCTTGAGAGGTTGGCTGCTGCCGTATGGGTAGATACATGTGGACGTAGGCTCCGGCTTGGAACCCAGTTGTTTGACTTTCTGGTATACATGTAAGGGGAGCACGTTGACGCTGGCTCCCGAGTCAACAAGCAATGTTGTGGGGAAACCATTGAGTAGGGGAGACATTCTAGCATTGTTTTTGTTGATATCGGGGTGGGGAGCTTGTAGGGTGAAAATTTCCTCTTCGCTGCTATCGCGTGAAACATACTTTGCGAATTCAACAGCAGTCTCCCCCCGGTGTAACGCATTCATTTCGTCATTACGTGCCGGGGGCCCCTGGGTGCTTCGGCATGCCTTTGCGAAGTGATTTCTCTTTCCGCCACGACTACATGTCTTGCCTCGGGCTTTATCACATATGCGATGTCCTAGTTCGCCACAACGATAGCATGTCTCATGTGACGGTGATTTCCGAGTTTGTTGCTGTTCCTGTTTCCGGGCGCGCTCAACCCAGTCCGGTTCCTTTTTGCGTTTGTCGCTCGGCTTCCGGTGTTGACGAAGACTCGAGAGTTCATCGGAGCTGCTTTCTGGGTTGTTATTTTCGCTTATCTCGCTTTTTTCGATGGCTTTAGCGTGCATTTCAGCGGCTTCGAGTGAACGGGCGGTCTTTAGTGCCTCTTGCAAGGAAATGTTTGGAGTTTCCAACAGTTTACGCCTGAGTTTAGTGGAAGAACAACAAGCGACAATTTGATCTCGGATTATACTATCAGTTTGGTTGTCATATTCACACATTCGGGCTTTAATGCGAAGTCTGGTGTGCCAAGAATCGACTTTTTCGCCCTCTAGTTGTGTACATTGGCGAAATTGGTATCTTTCGAAGACGACATTGTTTTGGGCTGCGAAATATTCGGTGAGTTTCCTTGTCAAAGTTGCAAAGTCCGTTCCCGTGTCCGTAATGTTATTCTCAGCAATGTCTTGAACGTCGCTGCCTGCACAGTGGAGTACTAGCTATCACTTACTTTTCCTATCCAACAATGTGCCTCAGCAATAACAGAGATGAATAAAGATCTGTGCAGGATTCGTGACTGGTGTTTTGACAACCACCTCCTTCTCAACGCATCCAAGACAAAGCTTATGGTTTTTGGTAGTCGCCAAATGATCTCGAAAGTCCCTGACTTCCGTCTGTCATTACTGGGTAAGGAACTTATTCCAGTCCAAACAGCTAAAGATCTCGGAGTTACATTTGATTCAAGCCTTTCCTTCACTGTCATGTCGTTAAGACTGTCTCTTCTTGCATGTCCAGCTTGGCGCAGATTAACCGTGTAAAACATGTTTTAGATAAAAGTTTGCTTGTCTTGGTAATTCGAAGTTTAGTTTTCAGTAAAATGTATTATTGCTCTTCGGTATGGGCTAACACCACTGCAAATAACATCCGCAGACTTCAAGCAGTACAGAACTTTGCCGCCCGAATTATCACTAAATCAAGAAAATTTGACCACATAACACCCTTGTTGACTGAACTGTACTGGATTCCCGTTAAACTGTTCTTACTCTACCGTGACGCTGTTTTGACATTCAAATGTCTAAACAGAATAACACCGGAATATTTGTCTCAACAATTTGTGAGGAGAGTCGACATCAGTGGACGTTGCACGAGGAACTCAAGTTCTTTAAATATCTCCTTTTTCAGGAGTGCAACTGGCCAACGGACATTCTATTACCGTGCTGTCTCCTTATGGAACGAACTTCCAGACAACATTAAATGTAGTTCATCAGTTAACATTTTTAAACATAAATTACGTAAATATATTTTAGGAAATCATTCATAGTAGCATTTGGCCTTTAACAATTTTTACATCCATACCAGTAATTAATTAGTTAGAATTTCATGTTAGTATATCTTATAATTTTTTGTAATTGGCTCCAAAAAGCCCCGTTGGGGAGAGTTCCATAAATTATTGTATTGTATTGTATTGTATTGTATATTTATACCTCGATTTTATACGCATATGCATATCGGCCCCTGACTTTGCCAATCGAGAATTAGTTGAATAAAAGGTAAAAACTTAAAATTTTCACAAATCTTACCTTTCAGAAGAAATATTCTTCCTTTTAATTAAAGTCTTTACAGGGAATTTTTGCATCCACAAGCGGAGAAAAACGGCAAGATTTTGTCTTGAAAACATAAAATATTTATGCAAAAACAGGGGGGCGAAGGTCTTCGTTGGATGCTTAGGATCGCGGTTGGTCAGTGGTGAATGCCATGAGCCGGAGGAACCGTATGGCGTCAGCAAACGTGAAAATCCGCCATGTTTTTGCGGGCACTTTTTTGACTGACGAGAGATAGGAGCACCTCCTCCAGTAATATAGTATAGCTCAGTGGTTACATACAGTAATGCAAAATGTTTTTCCGCTGACCGGCAGGTATCGAAAGTAGCCGATACTAGCAATTTAAGTACTGACTTCCGGTATCGAAAATTGAAATTTTGTGTTTATTTTGGTATCAAAATAGTTTTCGGCCGATACCGATCTTAAAAGTATCCGTATCGAATTAAAAATGGTATCGCCCATCACTAGAAAATATAAAAAATATTCGCCCGCGCACGGAAGAGTACTGAGAATAACGCGCAAGAATGCCTTCAAAATCCGCCATCTTTGGCTTCACTTTATGATTACGTCACTGACTGAAGTCAGCCTTCCATGTATATAGTTCAATGGTGCGCGTTTGAGGGGCATTCCCCCCTGGACATAGATCATACCAGATGTCTCACTGTGTATCTATCCCTATGATTTTCGTGTCCGCGATTTTCGCGAGGCTATCACGCCCGATGACGCCTGCGACACTTACTGCCAAAATGGCGCTTACTGCCAAAATGCGTGATTGCTCACGTTTCATGGCGTGGATTACACTTACTGCCAAAATGGCGGCCAACGCGTGCTCATAAAAAATCGCGGACACAATTTTGGCTGAGTGAGACATCTGGTATGATCTATAATCTATGCCCTGGACGTCCGCCATTTTGAATATTAGCCGGGGGTGAATTATTATTATTATTAGTTTAATAAAATCCATTTTGCAGCTAAAGCTGAATTACATGGAAACAATATTTACAATATTAAATATTAAAATTTACGTTAACAATGTTATATAGTATGATAATATGTATTCTATCCTAAATTAGGGTAGATTACGATAATATACTCTAACTATTAAACTACCTATTATAAAAATGTATTCATAAAATGTTAACTATATTTAATGGTAAAAAAGTTCTTTAACCGTCCAGACATTATCGGTAAGAGTTGCGGATTATTATTACGCAGATCATAATTATGAGTTCGGTCTGGTAGACCGGATTTAACTATTGCAGTTAAAGGGTTGTGTAGAAAATCGCTGATGATATTATCATTAGTTAATATTATTAATATTCTGTTAAGCGCTCACAGGAGAACTGGTAACGAGTGACGTTAAAAATCGTGTTTGTGGTGTGTTCGAGAACTTTTATGATATTATTTAGTTTTAAATAAAGAAGTAAAAACAACTCAAAAATGTGATTTATTCAGTGTGAACGGACCGGAATTCACCACACTGAAAGTGGCGACCCATCGGCAGGATAATTAACGGGAAATTTCATCATTTGTTTTATATTTACGATCGGATTGCGAAGGATTGTTTGTGGGAATTAGCAGTGGATATGAAACTGTGAGTACATTTTCTATTAATTTTGTGGATATATTTCAATTACTAAAGCGTTTATTTATCGTGGGTTCTCATTATATCGTTTAAAAACTACACAGTTTTGGATTAACTTGACTATTTTTCATTGGAAATCGGTGTTTATATATTTTGTCGACAACAAGATATTTGGGACATAACGTTTGTCTTACATCACGTACATGAGTAACAATCTTTTAATATTGGGTTTTATATGGACTGGAGCGTTGACAGTGGAGTATAACATTGCTTAAATTCAAGATATCAATACAGTGAAGTGATAAATAACTTGGAACTTGGTTTTTAATACTATTACATTTAATGTTGTGGATTTCCAAAGAGGGGAGCATATAATAAACAACAAACTGACATATTGTTACAACAAAATTAGATTGAGTTTTGAATTTCGCACACTTTACTCAACAGTCGGTACTGTATTTGAGACAATATGGCAACTGAAGCAAAACATGACAAACAGGTGGCACTTGCGAAAATAAACTTGTCGGAGGCTGAAGACCTTATAGCAACGAACAATCTGGATGATACAGTCATGGCGTATGGGAAACTTGGGGAAATCATAAAACGACTTGAACTATCCAAGGACAACACAATGCAATATATGATGGAAAATGACTCGGATTTGGAAACACTAAAAGAATGGGCAGATAAACAAAAGGAATGCATTCTGTGCTTTCGTAAAGCAAGGGACAACTGCAAACAACAAATGGACAAATTAAAAGTGCAACAACAGGAAGAAGCAATTCAGGGGGAACTTGAGAATAAAAAGAAGATTAATGATGAGCAACTGAAATTTCAATTACAACAAGAAAAGGAACTTCAAGAGATGATGATAAGGAAACAACAAGCTGAAGAAGAATGGTTAAAGAAGAAAGTAGAACTGCAAATGCAAATGCAAAGTGAAGCAACAGGGAGTGTAACAGCTGGCACGACAAACGAAACTCGATCTACAGTCAAGCTGGAAAAGTACACTATAACACCATTTACTGGGGATTACATGGACTGGCTGAGATTCTGGAACCAGTTTACAGTAGAAGTCAACGACACCAACATTTCGGAGGTGAGCAAATTTCACTATCTGTTAGAGTTAGTAAAAGGGAAACCCCGAGAGGACATTTTGGGTTTACCCCATACATCAGATGGTTACAAGGAAGCAAAGAAGATACTTATAGAAAACTATGGCAAGGATACAAAAGTCCACAAAGCACTCATAAAAGATTTGGAAAGTCTTCACACTATTACCAGCATCCACAAACTCAATTTGATTCATGATTTTTACAATAAGCTGTCAAGAATTGTTAGATCTCTTACAACGATGGGAAAATTGCAAACAGCGCAAAGTGCGGTGTACACATTAATGGACAAACTAGGCCCTGTGCGAGAGGTCCTGGTGCAAAAGGATGACGAGTGGGAAAACTGGAGATTAACCGAACTAGTGGAGCACTTACACAAGTTTGTAAATCGAAATCCTATTCGTGCAGAAGAGAATGAAGCATCTGGAAAACAAGATTGGAAGAAAAGAGGTCGTTGGAGTGATCGTGAAAAATTACTCTTTGGTAATGACGGTGAAAGAAACAAGAAAAAGCAATGTATTTACTGTGAGTCAAAGGAACATACAGCTATCAATTGTACAAAGATATTAGATGTTGCTAAGCGACGTGAGATTCTAAAGCAAAAGAATTCCTGTTACAATTGTGCGACCCCAGGCCATCGAGCTTCGACATGTAGAGCACAAGGTTGTCATAAATGCGGACAAAAGCATCACACTTCAATTTGTCAACAGAAGAGACCATCCTCAATGGATGGGATGAATAATAGCAAAGGAGAAAAGGGTTATGCAGGTATTCAACGAGAAGCAGGTGTGGATGAACTTGGACGTGAAAAAACTGATAAGGCTCTTGGGGCAGCCCAAAGTAATCAACCTACTGTACACCCGACATTGCATGCCAAGATTGGGGACAAAAAGGTACGAGTTATGATCGACACTGGGGCAAGTAGTTCATACATCTGTAGTGATTTTGTTACTGAGCTAAAACTGAAACCAATACGGCAAGAAAGGCGCTCTATCGAACAAATGTATGGGACAGTGGATAAAGTTGTCGAGGTATATGAAGTGTCACTCCAGTCACTGGCTGTTCGTGGCTATGATATTAAGATAGAATGTATCAATGCAGAAAAGGACATCTTGACGTGCCTTCCAAATCCCAAAATTGCTGAGTTAAAGCGACAAAACCCAAGACTTGGTGAAGTGAGTTTGTGTGAGGAGAAAACAACCTCGGAAAGTATGCCTGTCCATATAATGCTTGGGGTATCTGATTTTCAGAGGATTAGAACCAGTGGAAATCTCATCTTAGGAACTAACCCAGATCCGGATCCGGGTGCTGAATTCACAATGCTGGGGTGGACGGTGTTTGGTGGTAAACAGAAGGGAATGCAGCCTGTAAAGAACTTTTTGCTTCACCCTGCCCAAAAGGAG